TCAACAGATAAGAAGCAACATAGGGAACACGTCCGCGAGGTAGTCACACGACTTCGCGATGCAGGCCTCCAGATTGATATCGACAAATGCGAATTCGAAACAACTAGGACGAAATACCTTGGGCTGATCGTTACGCCTGGAGGTGTCGAGATGGACCCGACAAGGTCTCTACAATCCTCAACTGGAAGCCACCAACAGCACTCCGCGACTTACAAAGATTCCTCGGCTTTGCAAACTTTTATCGCCGCTTTATCCGTGACTTCTCCAAGATCACCCGGCCATTAAATGACCTCCTGAAGAAGAGCACAATCTGGTCCTGGGAGGTAGAACACCAAACCGCCTTTGACCGACTGAAAGCCGCATTCTCCGTAGCACCGGTTCTAGCCTTATATGACTATAATAGGAAAACTGTACTTGAAACAGACGCCTCGGACTGGGCGTCTGGAGGAGTCTTGTCCCAGTATGATGATGAAGGCGTACTGCGACCTGTAGCCTACTTCTCGTCAAAACACTCGGCCCAGGAATGCAACTACGAGATCTACGACAAGGAACTACTGGCGATCATTAAGGCTCTGGAAGAATGGAGGCCTGAGCTTCAGGGACCCAAGAACCCTTCGAAGTCATCACGGACCATAAGAACCTTGAATATTTCACAACAACCAAGGCTCTAAACCAACGACAAGTCCGCTGGTCCGAGTTCCTGTCAGGCTTCAACTTCCGTATTGTTTATCGACCAGGCACCAAAGCCGTCCGTCCAGATGCGCTAAGTCGAAAGCCAGAAGACCAACCCAAGCGCGCAGACACAAACGACGACCGCATTAAGAACCGCCAACGGACCATTCTGCCAGAACACATCTTTGACCCAGAGGCCCTGGCTGAACTGACTCGAGAAGTCAACAATTCGACCTCGCTGCCGCCCCGATAGACGTTATCATGCCAGCCATGGACAAACCCATCGATGAACTGGTCGATAGAGCCTACGAAAATTCAGAGATGGCCCAAGACATGCTGACGGCCCTGAGAGACGCATCAACCCACCGCCGCTGGCCCAAGAAATGGCGAAAGGAACTTCGCGTAGCAATGGCAGACTGCTCTGTCATTGGGAATCGCATATACTACCGCGAGAAGCTCTTCATACCACCCAACGATCAGGAACTAAAGACCCAGGTTATTTACCGTACGCACTCCACAGGCCCTGCAGGACACCCCGGCGGATAAAGACAATCGATTTGGTTAGCCGAACTTACTGGTGGCCACGCATAACCCGAGACATCGAGGAATATGTTAAAGCCTGCGAGCTGTGTGATCGGGTCAGCCTCAAGGTCGGCACCCCAGGATTCCTCCAACCACTGCAAGTGCCATTCCAAGCTTGGTCAGATATATCCATTGACTACATCACGCCCCTGCCAGAATGCGAGCGCCATGGCAAAACATACCAGCATGTCCTCGTTGTGTGCCGATTGACAAAGATGCGCCATTTCATCCCAGTTGTAGGCCTAACAGCCGAAGAACTAGCCTCTGTCTTTATCAGCCGAGTCTATTGCCTCCATGGCACACCCGACAATGTCATCTCCGACCGCGGTTCCCAATTCATCTCCGAGTTCTGGCGCCAAGTCTCCGACCGCCTAGGAGTTCGACCGCCATTCTTCCGCCTTCCACCCAGAGACAGACGGACAAACGGAACGGATCAACGCAGGCATCGAACAATATCTGAGAGCATTCATGAACTTCCACCAAGACGACTGGGTCGACTGGCTCCTCTTGCCGAGTTCGCCACGAACAACGTTACATCTGAGACCACGGGAGTATCACCATTCTTCGCTAACTATGGGTTTCACCCCAAACTCGGCACTGAACCAACCAAGCCACTGCCGCCAAACCAGTCCGCAGCCCAACGACGAGAGTTCAAAGCAAACAACATCGCCGACCGCTTTGAGCGTATTATCACTCAGCTGAAAGCCCTTGCAACCCAAGCCGCCAGACGCTACGAGGAGAACGCCAACCTCAATCGAGAAGATGCTCCTCAGTACGCCGAAGGTCAAGAAGTCTACGTAAGCACGAAGAATATGAAGACAAACCGGCCGATGAAGAAAGGAGACGACAAGTGGGCAGGACCATTCCCAATTCTGAAAGTCTACCCTCGTTCATGCGCTTAAACTCCTGAGGAATGAAGATCTTTCCGTGTTCCACAACTCGCTCCTACGACCGAAACCAGAAGCAAATGGTCTACCCGGCCAAGACGTTATCAACGAGGCCGAGTCAAAACATCCGAGGACGAGTCCTAGAACGCGATGACGAGACAGGAGAACTAGTCGAAAATGGCTATTTGACGGGCTACTAAATAGCCGCAGAGACGTTGATGGCCTACATTACCTAGTCAAGTGGAAACACTATGACCCTACCTGGCAACCGGCTAGAGACCTCAAAGGACATAACCAAGTACTCCTCGACTTTCATAGAGTTCACCCAAACAAGCCAGGCCCCCGGTCTGGGCAGAAGTAAAGGGCACAACTATATACTTTGTGCCCAGGCCGCTCTTAGTCGTTTAGGCTGTTCGAGGACGAACAGCCGTTTGGGAAGGGGGTACTGTCACGGCACCAACCTGGGTTCCGTCACGTGCATCCCTGTACTTAGTCTAGACTCTGTTCCACCTCCGTAGTTTGCCCTCCTCACAGCACAACATAGATCTTCCCTGGCATCCTAGGTCTGCCCCGTGATAGTCTGCGGCCGTACGAAGATATGGCGCGAGCATAAAAGGGGTCTACTTAGACCGCTACCCGTACCGGACCGCTTCTTCCGCCAGATACAGATGGACTTTATTACGGACCTCCCCCTTGCGAACGGTAACCGCTGCCCGTTATCAAGGACCGGCTAAGTAAGGAAGTTATACTCGAACCGATGCCAACGATGGAAGCGGAAGCATGTGCAGAGCGTTTTCTATGGTGCTTCGCCCGCTACCACTGGTGGCCCGACGCTATAACGAGCGATAGGGGCTCGAATTGGGTAGGCCGCTTTGGAGGCACATGTGCAAGTTACTGGGGATCGACCAGCAGCTAAGCACGGCGTACCACCCCCAAACCGACGGAGGCCCTGAGAGGATGAACCAAGAAGTACAGGCATACCTCCGCGCCGTGATTAACCAGAACCAGAACGACTGGGATAAGTGGGTTCCCGCGGCTCAGATGGCGTTAAACGGTCGGGTCAATACCTCTATAGGATGTCCCCATTCTTCGCTATACACGGCTATGAGCCGAAGTCACCAGTTCCCTCGTTACGGAAGCATATGGAAGAGTATCCTCAGCATTCGCCAGAAACCAGGGCAAAGAAATTTGTTACCAAACTACAACAGATTACGGACCTCTGCCAAGCATCAATGGCGACAGCTACGCAGCAACAAGAACGCTTCGCTAACAGACGACGGAACGCGGCAGAACGCTTCGAAGTAGGCGATAAGGTTTGGCTTGACTTACGGAACTACGCGTCAGAGCGACCTAAGAAGAAGTTCGACTGGCTGCACGCTAAGTATACGATAAGCAAGGTACTCGACCCGTACACGGTTGAACTAGCAGACCTCCCGAGGGGCTGCTATAATAGGTTCCACGTCGACCAACTCCGGAGAGCGGGGACGGACCCAATGCCTGGTCAGCAACGCACAGACGCTCAACCCCATCTATCCAAGTAGACGGGGAGGCTCACCAAGTAGTAGAGGAAATACTATGCGCTAGGTGGAAGAGAACCGGCCGCGGCCGTAGGCGGGAAGTCCTTGTACGCTGGCAAGGTTGGCAAGACCCGACCTGGACCTCTTTAGACAATATGCAACAGACAGCGGCCTTGGATAAGTACGAACAGAGATACGGCCCGGCTCTCGAAAACGATGGACCATACCAGCACCGACGAGTGGCAACGGAAGCACAGCCGGCCCAAATCCAGGGCAAGTCGAAGGAATACAACCACAGCTGCAGATACAGGGCAAGAGAATACGCGGACCACTACGGGCTAGGACTAATGGCGACGCCCGTCGATAGTAACGGCACCAGACCCTATAGACGACGGCCCTACGATCGTTGTAGAGGGACCAGGAACAGGAAAAAGGGCACCAGCGCCAGAGAGAGAGGGGAATGGGTAAGGCTACGCCCCGATGTGTAGATCTGGCATGGCCAGACTAGTCACGTGCGAGCGCCACGGACACGACTCCTAAAGGGAGCGATGTAGACACGTCTCCCCTTTACACTCTTTGTAGCTCAATTTACATCAATTACGCCCAGCACCTGTGCTAACAGTGCTGACCCCGTAACATATAGGAAGCCATCGCCACTTCTACTTCCCCTCTCTCCCCTACCCTCCTCTCTACACCTCCGTTCAGCTCCTTCTTCCTTCTTCCACACCGGGTGTTTTTAGCTTCCTAGGTCCCTCTTGCTAGCGCAAGGTTTATGAGCTGTCGAGACGAGCTCCTCCAATCGCCAAACTGCGACGTATTTCATAACCCTCTGACATGCCCCTCTCTTTGAGCTGGCACAACAGTTTGCGTGCATATGCTAAGTAAAGACGCTTCAATCAAGGGCGTTGAAGGGAATGGGGGCGGGAGCAGGTGGCTCGGCGCTCCGTCGTCTTTTCGGGAGGTAACCCGGCTAGAGGGCGTAAGAGGCTCGCTTGAAGTTTGTTCAACCAACAAGTGGCTGTATACCGTTCATTTAGAGCTGAGGGTGTAAAGAAGAAGAAGTTTATTTGATGGCCCTGGTCCATGGCTTTATATATGAATAATGCCAGGCATCTCGTGATAGAAGGTATTAATTACCTAAAAAGGGGCAAATAAAGGGGAGATTCGCCGAATAGAGATTTAACAACAGCCGAATAGCAATACTTTTCCCGTCCTCTCCTTCCGCTACATCTCTCCATGGCTGTGAAGCATGCCACATGTGATCCCGGCCAGAGCAAGCCTGCCGCCGTCTGCATCCTCACTCGTCTCCCGAGTCCCATCAAAGCCCATCTTCGGAACCTCTTCAGTAACCGCCCTGGGGCAGTTTGTCCGGAGCCCTTGTAGATTCCGTCGATCTCGCCCGGCTCCCAACATCCGACTGTGTTTGGGTCGCGTTGACGTCGACGGGCCCGTACAGGAACCAGGCGCTGAGCGGCTGGGCCAGCACGCCGCCCCTGCTGCGGCTGCCGGCCTTGGACGCCACCTCGGCGCGCGCGATGCCGATGTTGCCCGCCAGCACGTACGCCATGCTGCTGGTGCCGGGCGTCGGGTAGTCGAGCAGCTTGAGCGGCGCCTTGGCGTAGCCGACGGGCAGCTGGTTGAGGTTGGCGCGGTAGTAGGTGATGCCGTCGAGCGTGGTGTCGCCCTCGGCGGCCGGCACGCCCGCCGGCACGCGTACGTCGCCGTTGGACGACCAGTGCATGAAGCCCGTGATCCAGCCCGAGATGTCGTACTCGATGGGGCCCGTGCCGCACGTAAAGACCTTGTCGGCACGCACAATCTGCTTCCAGAAGGCCTGCACCTGCTTGCTCTGGGGCTCGTCCCACGTCTTGACAAACATGTTCAGGATCGGCCGCAAGTTCTTGGCGTACTGCGACGGCTCGGCTCCAAAGAGGCGCAGATTCTCGAGCTTGTCGAGCAGCGCCGCCCAGTCGTCCCTCGCCGAGCAGCGTCACCGACGGCAGCCCGCAGATGATTCCGCCCGTAAACTTAAAGTACTGCTGCATGAGCCCCATCATGAGCACCGTGGCCGTCGTGTTGTCGTTGGCATTGCTGGTGCTAAAGCCTGGCGTGATCCAGTTCTCGAGCCAGTGCGTCTTGACCTCTTCTGGATCTCTGACTTGAAGCCGTCGATGACGCCCTGCCATGTCCACTGCGCACCACGATCTCCTCCTGGCCCTGGAAGTTGACAAACAGGTGGCGGAGCTCCTCGGCGTGCTTGGTCATGTATAGGTTGAGCTGCGCCAGGATCTCGAACCAGACCACGTCGGGCCGCAGCACGAGGCTCTGGTGCTGCGCCCACGCGTCAATGGCACCTCGCACCAGGCTGTCGGACGAGGAGGCATAGAGCTTGCCGCGGCAATGGCCAGGTCGTGCGGCGAGTCGGCGTAGGACGAGACGATGACCTTGGCCTGGGGCCCGAGCCGACGGGTTGATCTCTCCGGGCAGCTTTGCTGGAAGAGCTGCAGCGCCGTCGACGCCGTGCTGGCCGTCTTGAGCGGCAGGGGCTTGACGTCGCTGACCGAGACGACAATGTCGGCGTTGGCGACGCTCGACGTCAGGCCGAGGAGTAGCAGTGGCAGCAACATGGCTCGCTGTTGGACAATGCTTGAAGGACTTAGGAGGTAGATAAAGGGCAAGTTTTCTCGACCTCCGATCTGAAGAGAGGAATCGAATGTTTGAATGTCTTGACTATGGCCCAAGCTCGGCTTGTAGTTCAAACGGCGGTTGAGCTGAAAGGCCATCCACAGCGGCCGCTTTATATAGGCCACGCTCTCATGGTCGCCGCCCGTCCACGACGGTTGGACTCGGTTCAACAATGCGTGATGGCTCGCCTCGTCCGGCTCGAGAGCATCATCCCACGCTTCCGGCTGGCCTCGGGTCGGCTCCCAGACAAGGCGGGCTGAGGGCGTGGTGAGAGCGAGCGCACGAGAGAAAGCCCGTGACACGCGATGATGATGGAATGCCACCACCAAGGGCTCGGCAGCAGCATGCACGGGTCCATTGTCGACATGCATTGGCCGATTGCAGACCTACGCGGAACATGAGGGAACCACCATGTGCTTTCCAGCAGACGGCGAGTTCGAGACCGGGGGCCATGCATGCAAACACGCAGCAAGTCTCCGTCACACCAGGCAGCTCGACTGTGGGAGTGTCATTTTTCAGCAGCATGATGCCGGCCAGCGTTCCAGAGCCTTCTGTGTCTCGATATGATGGATGCCGGTTCGCCCCTTGACGCCGGACGACTTAACTGGAACCACAGCCATAGAGTTACAGTTTGGCTGTCACACTGTTGGGAACTTTTCCCGCATACAACAGTCTTGATAATTGTGACAAACCGGCAAACCGCCTTGCATTTCGCTTGCCGGCTGGATGTGAGAGGCCCGCATATACGAATGCATCGAACAAGCGTCGGGCTGCTTCTGGCCAAATCCACGGACAAGGCAACAAGTCCTGAGTGTATGGTGACTGCTAATATGGTGTCGACGACGCATAGCATCGATCTCTTCCGACATGGCCCCATGCCGTCTCCTGATGGTTCAAGGCGAAAGCGGGGGGGGGGGGGGGGAAAAAAGTCCGTCAGGGCCCGGGTCCTCGGGGGTTCATGTAAGCCAGAGCCGTAACGGCTGCAACCCCCCTTCGGTGGAGAGAGAGGGAACAGCAAGGGGGACGCGGGAAGTCGACCGGCATGCAACAGTGACCTGCGCACATGTCTATTCTATCATGATGGTTGCCGAGCGGGGAAATGCAAGACATGGGACGGGCGAGAGGCAGTCGTCGATGTGGATGCGGACGGTTTACGACGGCTGATGCAGATTTTTCCAAACTGCGAATGGGCTTGGGAAAAGTATACCATGTGTGTGTTTGCTGCCATGTCACGACGCAGAGGCGGCATTGCCAAGCATCGTCGCCATAGAGCCGTGATGCGACAACAAAGGGACCCGAGCAGAGGCTCCGGGCGGCTGCAATTCTAGAATAGCCCAATCTGCCGACTGCAAAATTCCTCCCGCTCCCAAAACTTGGTTGCGTCCGGTGCGCCCTCGGGCCGTCGCCGTGCAACCCGGAACGCGAGCCTCGGATAGAACGCCCCTGCGTCCATGGCACTGAGAGGCGTGAACAGGGTCCCTCTCGAGCGTCATTGTGTGCGTCTTTGGCAGAAAGGCGGCCCTGATCTGGTACTTGTCCATTTTGATCTTTGGGATGCGGCGTCTTGTCGGAGTCGAGTCAGTGCTTGTTTCGCAAACGACGCCCGGTTCGGCTTTACTCGTATCGACGACCCGGTGAAGCATTTCAGAGCTGTGTGATTTCCAGTCCAACTCGGCAGCCATCCGAATACTTATCCCGGCTCGACAAAATACCATAGATTGACTAGCGACGTTGAGGGGCCGTGGCAAAGGACGTCCGCACTGTTCCTCTGCCGTCTTCATCCAACGTCATCGAGCCCAAGCCAAGGGGCCGAACTCTAGTCCCACGGACATTATCAACACGGCCACGGCCATGTCCGAGTCTGCTTTTAATGCTCGTCGAATATTCGTCCTCGACCAAGCCTCCAAGCCCTCCTCGTCCCGCGCACCCTAGTAGTCTCGGTATCGCACCTTGCCATCTTCTATTTCATACGCTTGGGCCTTGTTCCTGGTCTAGGACTTTCCGGATATAGTCGTCGCGTCGAACTCCAGCTGTAATTACCCATAAGTTCATGGCCGCCTGCCTACATGAAGCGGTAATCACTGTACACCAAGGCAAAGTCATGCTATTACGACTCCTCCTTTCGCGTGATACGCCTAGTCAAGCAACTGCCATCGTCGAGTCTTCTTCCGACGCTATTGTTCATTGACGTCAATGGCTCTGCTGCTACGTCGGGGGTTCATGACTTGGCTCAGCCTACCTAATCTAACTGCTATACTCATCATTATGCTCCCCAGAGATAGAGACTTTTACCGAGATTGCTCAAGCGATCCCCGCGTTTGACTCCAACTGGTCCGTTGACAAATTGGAAATGCAGCTTCTAGGACTTTCGGACTCCGACTTTGGGAATAATTCAAAGTGACTTATTTATGGGATCAAGAAGTGGCACGCTCCTGATCGTCGCTCCTCAATCCGACCGCGCTCACCTCAGTCCGCCAATTCTATTTGCGGGCATCAGCGTGGAAGAGCGAGCAGGGTAGGATCGTAAGTTGAAGCGTATCACAAGCGCTTCTCGAGAATCCTTCAACCCCGTGTCCTTGGCAAGAGGCTATGTCGTGAGCTATACGGAGACGCCTTTCCAATTCAGGCCCCTTTTTCAACATGGAAAAGGTGGTTGCATTTGGGGCATTGCAATGTCATTACAGGCTACCGAAATGTCTACCCCGTATGCTCGGAGCTCCAACATCCATTCCCAAGCCCTCGGGTCTTTTAGCTAACTTGAAGATGTACAGACACAAGCCGCCCGATATATAGAGAGACCAGGACACTCACCCTTGATCCTGACTTGACCGGAGCTCAAATCGAAAGCGGTGCTTATAATACCTCCGAGCTCGGCAGAAACCTGGCAGCAAAGTCAACCGCGGCCAAGACAAGAAGAAGCCGCCGGATACTCTTGTCGATTATCACGCGTAGCGTACAGTCAAGTATCATCCCCGACGCGCTGTCCAGTAGCTCTGGCCAGACGCTGCTGCTGCTATAAATCATCGGGCAAGAGACCGCTCAGGGCTCCAGAGTTTCCTTTTTCTGCCGGGGGTCGAGTAAGCCGTCGACTCGCGATTGGGCTGGGTCGAGTGACCAAATCACCACACCCTCCAGCCCCCAACCCGCTCTTCACGATGCATCCGTCATCAACTGCACTGTCGGCACTTGCGCCGAGACTCCCGGACCCTACCACCTTCCCCTTTTCGTCGGCCCGTCCTCTGCTACTGTGGGAATGGGGCCTGCCCGCCTATGATCCAAGCTGCCGGGTACCGCACCACGACCTTCCTCTTGGGGCGTAGCACGGGCATTTCAGCGTCACGATGGAGCTGTCCACGTCTACGAGCGCCCTGGAAAAGATACCAGAGGCATAACATGGTACTGAGAGGTTACGACTCAAGACTCTGTGCGAGCTCGACGTGCATATTGGGCATGTTTCACGTCATGGAAAGCCGCTTGATCGCACGGCTTGCTTTGTCTCGTAGACTTCGCTCAACAAAATCCACCAGTGGCCCGTCGCTCAGAGTCCACCTGACAGCCAGCACCCACGTTCATATTAGGCTCGGCCAGCTTGTAAGATCACCTGACGGATATTCTACTCACAATGGGCACAGAGGTTAAGATATTGATTCCATTTCGTAACACGCCAATTTGTCCGTGACACGTGTCAAGAATATGCACTTGTTTCATTGCCCGGGCAGTCTCTTAGGCTTTCAATGATCAAACTCCATTTCCGTACCGAGCGCCTTGCCATCTGACTGTAGATAAAAATGCACATAAAAGCAAAGCCACGACGCTTCAGCCCATCCCGTCGCGTGCCATCTCCCAGGAACACAACGTCTGGTGTCAAATCTTGGGACCCGGTCGCCGTTTGTTTGACGACTGGCCTTGGAGTCAATTCTCGGCGCTGTCTCTTGACACGCTTCACCACCTCGACAAGCTGCGGGTAAATCTTCTCAGACGTTTGGACCCCGCAGACTTTGGCAACAATGTCCTCCGGTTTGCTCTCCGACATGATCTTAGCCAGTTCCTTGGACTCTTCATCCTCCTCCACGTTCTGGAAACGGAAGCACATCTCAACGGCATCGAGCAGGTACTTGATGGACTGGCCCTTCTCGGCAAGCTCCGCAGCGGGGCCGATGAAGCGCCTTGCGCGAGCTTGCGCAGGGGGGCGCGGCCGACACGCTCGACGGCGTCTTCGAGGTGAGGGTTGGCGATGCGCTTGATAATCTTTTCCACGTACGCCGTCTGCTGCTGCTCGTCGATGCCGTGCTTGGCGACAATCAGGGTCTTGGTCTCATTCAACGCCCCGGACCTCGGCCATGATGTCCTTATCCTGGAGGGCATCGTAGACGGTGCGCTTTCTGCGGTTGTAGCCGTAGGCGGCCGTAGCGTGGCCTGTGTTGACGGTAAAGAGCTTACGCTCAATGAAGGGTTGCAGGTTGCCGACCCAGTTGACGCCCCGATGGGGGGAATGCCAACATCCTCAAAGGGCGTCCTGTCAACCACCCACTCGAAGAACTTTTCCAGCTTAACATCAAGGCCGGCGTTGGGGTCCTGGGCGGGGACAATTCTGTCAATGGCCGAGTTGGCATACCGGGCGCGAAGGTGATGAGTCTCGAGGCGAGCGGGATCCGTGTTCGTGGGATCCTTGATGTGCTGGGCGAGGGTGTCGGTGGCACCGATGGCATTCTCGCACGCAATGACGTGCAGAGGGTTGGCGTCTTCAGAGCGGCGGTCGATGGCTTTCGCGAGAACTGGAGCAATGAACTTGAGGATGTTGGGGCCGACGGAACAGGTGGCAATGTCGGCAGTCCGGAGCTCCTCAATCAAATCCTCCTCGTGCGTCTTGGAGTTGATGGCGCGGTAATTTGTGATTGTTTGCTCCGTGGTGCCCTCGACACCAACCTCGATGACCTTGTAGGAGGGGGTGGCATTGATCTTGTCGATGAGCGAGTCCACAACGTCGGCAAAGACGACTTCGTAACCCGAGTTGTGGAGGAAGCAGGCGACAAAGCCGCGGCCTGGAGATAGCAATGTTAGTGCCCACGATGTTCACTTGTCTTCTTCCGTCCCAGAAGTGTTAAGAGGAAGCAAAAATTGTGGGAGGTGACGTACCAATGTTGCCGGCGCCAAAGTGAACAGCCTTCTTGCCCATGGCGAAAGATGAAGCAGAGCGGAGACGGAGAGGGGTTGGTGATTGGGGCGGATGAAGCCTGGCGAGAAGCAGTCGGTGAGAGGTCTGATCAAGATGCAATGGCGATGTAGAGAGAGGTTGATGGAACGGTTGGGAAGAGGCAGGAGTTGCAGACGGTGCGAGAGACGGAAGCGGGTGAGCGGTGGTTTATATAAAGCAGGGGAGGGGCGGGGGAATCGGACTCACGAGGGGGGTGCTGGCGGTGTGTGGGCCGTGCTGGATCTGCACTGTATGGGGTGGCAGACGACAGTAGGCTGGGACCGGGCAGTGGTGACGATATTGGCGGGGAACAAAGGGGGCTGAGTGGAGGTACTGCAACATCGTACTGCCTGGCCCACCGCGGGTCCAGAAGCGAGGGGCAAGTAGCGGTACGGGGGCCCATGTTGTTTCTGCCAAAAGCTGCTGCAGAAAAGGGCAGGTGGGGTTCGGGCTGCCCCTCCCTTGGTGCGTGCGAGTCAAACCAGGCGCCCTTGTATGTACTCCGTGCTCGGCCACGGTAAAGCCCCCCGATCCGCACAGTGTGCACAGTATGCACGATGAACGGACGGATGGGGTTGAAATGGCCTCTCTGCTGTTGCTCAGTCAAGCGGGGTATCTGGCGGTGGTGCACACCGCTCAAAAGGCAGAGCAGGCAGCCTCCTCATGCCGGTTGCCCCTTGGAACGGGTGGGTGCAAATCATGGTCATGATGCCCGTCACGATGCAAGCAATCGCGATGTGCCTGACGTCGTGTGGAGGAGTAGCCCCGCTCTCGGCGGCCTCTGCGGCCTCTGCGCTGCGCCGTGTCTGTCTTTATGCGACAGTCAACCCAATGCAATGTTCTCTTTCCCGTCTCCACCGAGTTGTTGGCCGGCAAGTTGCCCTTTGTCGGAACCATGGGTGAATGCATCGCTGGACATGCAGAGGTCTGTCGGGCCCAACAAGAACACTGAGGTGGCACAGCAAAGCCCAATGGAAACTCGCTCGGCCGGGCGTTACCGAGTATAGGCTCTCTGCTCAGGGTGCCGGCTTATTAGCGTCTACCTCGCTTCTTGCTCAGATGGAAAAGACATCGGACCCTTCAACTTAGAATTTGTTGGTGCCCGTGCAAATATCGCCGCCAATCTACTGTACAAGGCATGTACGCATACAAGCTGCCGATACTGTACTGTACATACGTCCGATCGACTGTGCGCCAACACACTGTACACCTGGCCTGTTGCCCATCGTCATCAGTGGAGACTCATCAAAGCCAGTCGGCAAGGAATCAAATCCATTCTGGGAACCGATTGTCGATGCAGAAAATGGGCATGGACGCAAGGTGGCATGCTGCACCGTGCTGTACTGTACAGCTGAAGGTACTGCTGAAGATGCCCTCGAAGAATACTACTTGCCGTTGCCGGCCTGAACTACCGCCAAGATATAAGCGCTCACCACCATCACCAAGCTGAGGCAGGCTTCTCCGGGTCCTCGCTGTTCCGTTCCAGCCGCTCCATCGTCATCCCCTCCTCCTCCTTTCCACCCTCAGCTACCTGAAGTACGAATATTCAACATCGACAGCGACTGAAGCCGCCGCCCAAAGCAGGGCAGCCCAAAGACAACACCCAGATGCCACAGTCGCCATCTGCGCCCAACAAACAACAGACGACTTGCAGCGCTGCATGCACGCACCCACCAAGCAAATGTTGTTTGGGCAGCCAGACGGGCCCCGCAGCGGGGAGCGTCCCAAAGTCCCTGCTGAGAATTGCCCACTCGCTGCCACCGTCAACGTCAACGACAATGAAGAGCCTCGCCAGTCTCCGCTCGAGCGACCCTGAACGTTTCAAATATAAACATGACCCAAAATTCCCCGGACGTGGCCTGGTGGTGTCATCCGTGGTTTCCTCCATCGCAAGCGCCCGCAACGCACCTCGGCCTTTCTGCGGCTCCATCCGTCCGCCAAGCAATCGTAATCTGTAGTCGAAAGGGGCAGCTGTCAAGCGCAGGACATGACTTCAGTGACCGGTTGAACAAGTCTGACTTTCACCTCAACTGCCCTCTTCGTACGAGGACAAACAAGGTAAACACATGAGCCCCTGGTGGCCAGTCTCATTTGTCGTTGCCATTTTCCATCATCATTCGCCTCTCGGTGCCTTGTGGCTTGAGGCCTGGACAGTACGGTATGAGGCGACATCCCGCAGCCTGGAAAACAAAGCACATGATATATAGACAATTATGGCCTTATCGACTGCATTGGTACACTTATTCTTCTTGTCAATCTTGTCAATACTTCATGTCTCTCATTCCCCCGCCTCCCCGTTGATAGCTGGCGAGCGCTGCGCCATTCCCAATCACTTTTCACACAACTTGTTGCCGTTTCACGCCTGCAGCATCAAGACGTGCAGCCGCTCAAATCTTGGCATACTTCTTGAAGGCGCCAATGAGGCTGCCAGTCGAGCTGTCGTGGCCTCGCCATTTCCGCCTCGTCGAGCTCCTTGAGAATCTTTGCCAGCACCTTGCCCAGCTCGACGCCCCACTGGTCGAAGCTGTTGACGTCCCAGATGGCGCGCCTCCGTAAAGGTCAGGTGCTCGTAGTAGACAATCAAGGCACCGAGCCCGCGTCCTATGGAGCCCCGACGAGGATCGACGTCGTCGGGCGGTTGCCGAGGAAGCGCTTATGGGGCACGAGGTCGCTCGCGGTTCCTTCCGCCTTGACCTGGTCGTCAGTCTTGCCAACCATAAGGGCCTCGGCCTGCGCGAAGTAGTTGGAAGCGAGCATCTGGTGGAGGTTGTGGGCCATGGGGTTGTGCGACTGGGCGGCGAGGATGAAGTCGGTGGGGATCAGCTTGGTGCCCTGGTGCACAAGCTGGAAGAAGGAGTGTTGGGCGTTGGTGCAGGGCTCGCCAAAAAGAATGGGGCCTTGCCGGTCAGCAGCGCTCGTCTTCTTGGAGTAAGGAGGGGGGAAACGGAGAACAAGCCGCCCGTGGACAAGCAAAGTCGATTGGGGACAGCGTGTGCAGAGGAGCCAACTTACCAGTTGTGTACTTGACCGACGATCCGTCAGACGAGATTGACTTGCCGTTTGACTCCATGGAGAGCTGCTGCAGATAGGCCGGAAAGCGATGGAGATACTGGTCGAACCTGCACAACAAAAGTCAGCATCCAGGTCGACAGGGGCCCGAGCCAGCCTTGGCGAGGGCGTGGCATGGCGCGACAGGATTCAACATACGGCGCAACGAGGTGAGTCTGGGCCTGGAAAAAGTCCGAGTACCAGACGCTGAGCAGGCCGCCGAGGATAGGAATGTTGTCCTTGATGGGAGTCTTGCGGAAGTGCTGGTCCATGGCATGGGCACCGCTGAGGAACTTGTGGAAATTCTCGAAGCCGACGTAGATGGCGACGCTGAGGCCAATGGCGCTCCAAACCGAGTAGCGGCCGCCGACCCAGCTCGAAGCCAAACATATTCTTGCTGTCAATACCAAACTTTGTCACCTCGGGCTCGTTTGTGGAGAGGGCGACAAAGTGTTTTGCAATGTCGCCTTTGCCGCCCGACTCTCGAGGAACCAGGCCTTGGCCGTGTTTGCGTTGGTCGTCGTCTCAGCCGTGGTAAAGGTCTTTGAGGCGACGAGGAAGAGAGTCGTCTCCGGGTCTGAGTGCTTGAGGGCCTCAGCCGTGGGTGCCGTCAATGTTGGAAACGAAGTGGAGCGTCATGTCGTCGGCGCCGTAGCTTGAGCGCCTCTGTGACCATGACGGGCCGCTGCTGGGGCATCAGCGGGCTGCCTCAAGAGAACTGGAAGGGCACCACAGGTCGGATCCGCCAATGCCAATGTTTATGATTGTGGTGAGCTTTTGCCTGTGAAGCCCTTCCACTCGCCGCTGCGGACCTGGCCGGAGAACTCCTTCATGTGCTTGAGGACGTCGTTGACGCCGCCGGGGCAGTTCATGACATCCTGGCCGTCGACCTTCATCTCGACACCGCTGACGTTGCGCAGGGCCGGGTGGAAGACGGCACGGTTCTCCGTAAAGTTGATCTTATCGCCGGCAAACATGGCATCGCGCTTGCGCTCGAACACCAGCCTGCTCGGCGAGCTTGATGAGAAGGTTGAGCGTGTCCTCGGTCAGGAAGTTCTTGCTAAAGTCAAAAAGGATGTCGGCCGAGACGTCGTCCGAGGAAAACGTGCGAGAGAAGCGGTCGAAGCGGTCCGAGTCAGAGGCAAAGGCGTCCTTGAGGACAAAGTTCTTGCCCACGTTGTCGCGATGGGCCTGAAGCTCAGCCCAGGCGGGGAGCGTGTTTGCGGGAGCCATTTTTGCCGTCAATAGAATAACGAAGGAAGATGGGATTACTTGAGCAAAGGCAGGTTAGTAGCCGCTGTTATGAGGAGCCGAAGCGGAGCCAGGCGTGATCGGAGAGGACGGGCCTGGACTGGCAAGATAGGATTTGAAGCTGTCCACTTACCGGGGAGTGTATTGTTGGCCTCCAAGGTGGCCGAGTGAGTGGATACCTCTTCTCGCTAAAGTCTGTCTGGGCGGAGCAAGCGGAAGCTATCGAGGAGCGTCAGGGTCAACCGAGATAACCGCGCTCTCCAGTGGCCGAGCTTGCCGTCGGTTGAGTCGGTTTGGACGGTGGAGCCTTCAAATACTGGACGTCTGATTCCGCCGCCTTCGATGCCTGGATGGAGCGACGACGAGGACGAGGTGAGGTGAGGTAAGGCGAGAGGAGCCGGAGCTGGACGAGGGAGGGGTTGAATCCGGGTGGGAAGGGGTGAGAATGATGAGGGGCACCATAGCTCCCCGGTGCCCCGCCTTGGTGTCCCGCCTTGCTCTCTCCATGCTCCTACCTACTGGACCTACCCTATATCGCGCATCCTCGGCATCAAGCAGCGGTAATTGTAGCAAACGGCCAAGTATTTGTCCAGGCGACGACGTCATCCTTTCTACAGTACATACAAATGCAGCTCTTGGTCTCCTCTTCCCTCATTCCCCGCCCTCCCCCGTGTTACCCGACCTTGCCGCCCTTCCTTGGCCACCATTTACAGATGCAAGGCACGGCAATAGAATACCTAGTTGGCATTGTTGCGCGGCTCTTCCAACACGGGTACACACATACAACTCTCACCCTCTCGTCCGTTTCGTAGGCCAGGCCAAGTCCTCTCGCGTACCCTCGTCATGTATTCTGTCCTCTCCGCACACCATGCTACATCTAACCCAGCTTCCCGCCGCCACTTCCACACAAACAAATCACGGACAAGTCATCAATGCTGTCCAACACAGTGTACCTCGTATCCATGTTACCTGCCAAAACTCCCCATCTCAATGGTACATTCATCACGCTCCCGCCGTGGTCCTTTGTCTCGGCCTTGCACCTTTCCCCCCCTCGCCACCTCATCAGTCTACTGCCGCGTGGGCCAGAGGGGGAACCGACCGACAGCTGAGCTCCCCGTCTTCAGCCAACCGCTGTGCCAGCACGCCACTTTTCCCTTATCGATTGTCCTGATGCTGCCCACAAAGGAAGGGTCCTTGACGCTCCGCCGGCGCCAAGCCCCGCAATGGGCCTGTTATAGCTGAACCCCGGAATTGGTTCTGCATTGTCTGCGACAGCATCGGGCCGTCCACGTAAGAGTCTTGGGGCGCCTCCGACGAACTCGGGGTCAAAATTGGCCGTATCCAGCGCGTCAGCCTGGCCAGTCGTTAGCAGGAGTCATGGCCTTAGGGATGCTTGCACTCACCACGCTGGGCTTAAAGGTCGGCTCATACTTGCGCTGCAGCAGCTTCTCCAGTCAATGGCGTGAAAGAACGGATGAGCCTTGATCTCCGCCGACCCGTTGGCGCCGAGCCGCTCTTCGGGATTGCGGTTGCAGCTTGGTCAACAGATCCTGGCCGCCGGTGGCACCACATCCGAAAAGTGCAGTGGCTCTGATAGGATCTTGCGGTACATTTCATTGGTGTTTTCGTCGTAAAAGGGAGGCAGGCCAGTCAGCATCTCGTACAGCAGCACGCCCAGAGTCCACCAGTCGACCGTCTTGTTGTAGCCCTTGCCCATCAGCAGCTCCGGCGCAAGGTATTCGGGCGTCCCGCAAAAGGTATTCGTCCGGTCTTCGTCCTTCATGTCGAGCTTGCAGAGGCCAAAGTCGCAGAGCGCAATGTGGCCCTGGTAGTCGAGCAGGATGTTCTCGGGCTTTAGGTCGCGGTAGATGACGCTGAAGCCGTGCAGGCATTCCAGGGCGCAGAGCAGCTCCGCCGTGTAGAAGCGCGATCTGTTGACGTCGAACCGGTGTTCCTTTTGCAGATGGTGGAAGAGTTCTCCTCCATTGACAAACGCCAGCACGAAGTAGAGCTTCTCGGGCGACTGAAAGCTGAACTTGAGGGGGACAATGAAGGGATTGTTGATTTGTGCCAAGACAGACCGCTCGGCGAGCGTATGCGCCACCTCGGACCGGGAGATGATGTGGCTTTGCGAATCGTCTTGAGAGCGTAAATGCGGTTCGTGTCCTTTTTGCGTACCTGCATCACCTTCCCAAAGCTGCCCTTGCCCACAACCTTGAGCAGCTCAAAGTCTTCAATCTTGAGCTTGCCTGCTCGCGTCTCGACATATTCGACGCCGACCTTGATCTTGCCACTGCCGTACTGCACATCCACCCACTCGACGCCGCTTTGTCCTTCGCCCTTCTGGCCTTGGGCATGCTCGTCGGCAGCCTCTCCCGGTCCTTCTTGCTGGCCTTGGGGTCCTCACATACGGCTGCCGCCTCGAATCGAGGATTGATGCGAACGACGCCCAGAAAGATGTCCTGACCCGCCCGGACCCAGGAGCAGCGGTTGGGTTTCTGCGTACAGGTGGATGACAAGCTCCGTCATCCGGGAGACATCGAACTTGTACTGGTGCCGCCGCCTGCCCAGAGGGGATTCTCGTTGCCTTCGACGGAATTGACAAAGACCTGCACCTTGTCAAAGTCGAGAAGTGCGTAGGGCATGTATTTGCCTGAGATTCGGCCATGGTTTGTTGGTATACCGCCGAATCCACCGGCTGAGGAGTGTGGCCTGTTTGAGCCGTTCATGAAGGAACCGGCCGCTCGTTGCGAGGAAGAGGGTCGTACTGAGCCGGCCATGGTTGCCGCATTGCTAGATGACAGTGAGCCCTGGTGCTGCGAGGCAAAGGCAGCTCGGTGTTGCTCAGGCAGGGAGAAGCCTTGGCCCTCGTGGAGTGTGACGACAAGGATGCCGGGCTTGGGCGGCTTGACGACGGGCGCTTGGTTGCTTCCGAGGCAGCTAGTTTCAACACAGATATTAGCCCGGAATTGGCTTCCACCTGGCCAGGCACGATGAAAGCACATACCAATGGCGTTGTCGGTGGTCGGAGTCGTGGCGCCCGTGGCATTTTGAGCCTTGTCGTCCTTGTCTGTGATGGTCGAGGTAGAGGGGGATCGAGAAAAGGCGCTCAGGGTCCCCAGATGGGTATCCTTGAATTCTAGACGGGCAAGGCTGTCAGCTTCCGGTTGACACGGGGGGTGCTCGGGGACGCCGAAACGGGTCGTCCCGCCTAGAGGCTGGACATTGTCGGCTCGGGGAAGAGCAAGACGACGGGTACCAAAAAAACGTACTCTTGGTGAGTTTCCACGACATAGTGGCGGTATGCGTGGAAGCGGGGACGGCGGAGGACGACAAGGACGGGCGGTTGGTAGGGATCGTGACAGCTCAAGACGCGGGGCAAATGGGTATTTTGAATGGCGATGGTCGGTCAGTCAGGATAAAGGGGAGAGAGGAGACGCCGGGTCGGCGCAACGCAGTTCAGCTGTCGGGACGGAGGGTGCCAGATGGAATGGAGGGCTAGTGCTTTCTCCCCGGTGGCGACGAAGTGGGATCGCGGCCGAGTTGCTTATCCCAGGGTGGCTGTTGGTGACAGGTTGGCCTGGAAGTGGGTGGTAGTGGCAGAGTTGGCATGCGCAATGCAACCCCGCAGACGCCTGAAGCCTCCAGCTGCGCGAAAGGCGCCTTGACCGAAAGAGGGTGCGAGACTGGGTCAGTAGTCGACCAGGCTAAGGTAGGCCTGAGGATGCAGATAGTTGAGGACTGGCAGCTGGCTAGAGAGGGCGGAAACGACAGAAGACGAGGCCGGGTCGAGGGAGATGAGACGAGGGGTGGATGACGAGCGGCCGGCGTGGCTGAGGAAGGCGAATCGCCGCTGAACAAGGCTGGCAAAGGGTCAAGATCTCTTGGTGCTGGAACTTGGGGAGACAAAAGGGACAGAGGGAGAGAGAGGCTGCGCAAGGTTTGTACGTGTTTCGTTGGGAGAAGGGGTAGATGACGGCAACGACGAGGCGAAGCAGCAGCACAAACGACGCTGGTGAAATGGAGCCTCGGACGAAGGAAAGGGGGCCCAAATGCAGGTATATTGTGCTACGGTTAGTACCCGCACCTCGGGTCGAGGTATCTCGGGGAATGTGCCTCAGGCGCCGGCAGATGCCATGGGGTACTGCTATACAAAACACGGGGTTTGGAGGTACCCTGGCTCGGGCTATGAAATCATTCACGGGGCTTGACCACCTAGGTACCTTAAGGTACTAGGTAATTAGTACTAAGGCAGGGCAAGGGACGGTCAGCCATTGCAAGGGGGCATAGAATGCGCACTGTGTCTGCTTCTCGAACTGAGAGAGCCATTCCGGAATCCTGCCCGTCTTGTCAGTGCGCACATGAACAGAAACAAAAGGTGACGCACGGTGCTTCGAGATAAGATAGGGCAGACCGGCACCGCAGAAGTTACTCGCCAGAACACCCGGTGCATATCCGCACAGGACAGTACGGATACGAACAAATGAATGCGGCTTACTGGAGGGCAGAGGGGCCTACTGCTTCAAACAAGAAGAAAAGAAAATATTCATTCGCCCTTTTCCCCTTTAATTCCAGCAGGGCGACATAAGACGAGTCATTGGTTGTGGTCTGAGCCTGGGCGGCCTCATTTGATTACTAACCCACCTTCCTACCTTGTAAATGTCCAGGACCAGGCGCACCTTGCCAGGCACATCTCGGGCAAGGGGTCAAGAGGTGTTTGTACGGAGTATTAGCTTTCGTCCAAAATGGCGAGTGCTGAGAGCAGCCAGCAAGCGAATGGGGCGTCCATCTCATTGCGCAGCCGCGGCGAGATCTGACCCGTCTGAGCCCGTTCCCGACCAAGGGCACACGCGGCCCTATCGAGGTCAAACATGGCTCTGGCAAGGAAGGTAGTCCACGAGTTGGTCCTATAAGAGGAGATACGCAGCCATCAATTGCCTTGTACCGGGAGACAATCCAGGTGCAATTGATCGTTCTCTTGACAGCAATGGACACGTAGTAACCCGTAGGCGAATCTCGAAGCCCCGCAGGTACAAGCACAAGGTACCCGCCGTTCTGCAGCTGGTTGATACCTGACAATCCAGGCGCGTGGCCAGCCTGGCAGAAGCAGCAGCCTTCCATTCTGGTAGAGCCATGCTATGGGGGCATTTACCGCACATTTCCCACGAGCTCATCCCAAGCCTTTCGGTTCGCTTCAGCACGACAACAACAGCTGTATACCTTCGGCCTCCATCGATGCAGCAACGCCTCTTCCCTCTGCCTGAAAATATCCCGATCCTGCCCCTGTTGCATGGTGGTTGTTGGCGAGAGCGAAAGCCCACTACGCCGGTGACCGCCACGTCTCCCTTCCTCAGTCTACACCTCGAGTCGCCGATCCTCGGGCTGGATAAGAGCTTTGCACCGGCAGCTCAGGGCATCCACCCGCCGACACGATGAGATTGGACGTCAAGGTCAGTGCCAGTCTCTCCGGCTTCTAGGCCAGGATTGTGCGCTGACTCTCCATCTGCCCTCACAGCGCCAACTGTTCGCTCGCAGCGAACGAGTGAAGGGAATCGACTTTCACCCGCATGAGCCATGGATTCTCACGACCTCTATAGCGGTGCGTACACCGACTTCACTATTATTCGCCACATCTAAACCTCTGCAGGCCATGCATACATCTGGTCTTACGAGACGCAGCAAATCGTGAAGACTTTCGAGCTCACCGACGTCCCCGTTCGCGCCGGCCGATTCGTCTCGCGCAAGAATTGGATCGTCTGCGGTTCCGACGACTTCCAATTGCGCGTCTATAACTACAACACGTCGGAAAAGATCACTTCGTTCGAGGCGCATCCGGACTACATTCGAGCCATCGCTGTCCACCCGACCCTGCCCTTTATCCTCACCGCGTCCGACGACATGACCATCAAGCTGTGGGATTGGGACAAGGGCTGGAAATGCGTGCAGGTCTACGAGGGACACAGTCACTATGTTATGGGCCTCGCCATCAACCCCAAAGACACAAACACGTTTGCCTCGGCCTGCCTCGACCGCACCGTCAAGATCTGGAGCCTAGGCTCGGCCACTGCCAACTTCACTCTGGAGGCGCACGAGACCAAGGGCGTCAACCACGTCGACTACTACCCTCACTCCGATAAGCCCTACCTGCTCACCACGTCCGACGACCGAACCATCAAGGTGTGGGACTACACGACCAAGTCGTTGATTGCAACCCTCGAGGGCCACACCAACAACGTCTCTTTTGCATGCTACCACCCCGAGTTGCCCGTCATCATCTCCGGCTCCGAGGACGGCACCATCCGAGTCTGGCACGCGAACACGTACCGATTCGAACAGTCCCTGAACTACAGCCTCGAACGAGCGTGGTGCATTGCCTATCAAAAGGGACAGCAAGGCGTCGCCGTGGGCTTTGACGATGGCGCCGTCGTCGTCAAGCTGGGCCGCGAAGAGCCCGCCGTGTCCATGGACGCCTCTGAAAACTCATCTGGGCCAGACACAACGAAGTTGTGTCCTCCATCATCAAGGAGGCAAGTTGAGCTGCGCGTCGAGTATCTAAAGCTTCGACTGCTGACAAGTCTGTAGATGCCAGCATCAAGGACAATGAGCCAATCAGCCTCCCACAAAGACCTCGGAACGTGCGAAGTCTATCCGCAGACGCTGCTACACTCCCAACGGCCGCTTCGTCGCTGTGTGCGGAGACGGCGAATACATCATCTACACGGCTCTGGCCTGGCGCAACAAGGCCTTTGGCTCTGCGCTGGATTTCGTCTGGGCGTCCAAGGAAAACAGCAACGATTTCGCTATCCGCGAATCGCCCATGAGCGTCAAGGTGTACAAGAACTTTATTGAAAAGAGCGGCGGCCTGGACGTGGGTTTCCAGGCGGAGGGCCTCACCGGCGGTGTCTTGCTCGGCGTCATTGGTCAGGGCGGCGTCTCCTTTTTCGACTGGGCCACGGGCGGCCTCGTCCGAAGGATCGAGGTTGAGCCCAAGCAGGTTCGTGAGCTTGCCACAGCTGATGAACTCGGGGCACTGACATTGCGCAGGTCTATTGGTCGGATAGCGGTGAACTTATTGCGATTGCATGCGACGACACCTTTACGTGCTGCGATTCTCCTGAGAAAACTATGTCGAGGCAGTGCAGGCCGGTCAGGTGAACGAGGATGGCGTCGAGGCCGCGTTTGAAGTCATCACGGATATCAGCGAAAGGTAAGCCCGGCGGTCGCGTCGCGCCTCAGCGGCCTAGGCTGACCCCAGACAGTGTTCGGACAGGCGAATGGGTCGGGGACTGCTTCATCTACACCAATAGCACGAACCGACTCAATTACCTGGTTGGCGACCAGACGTATACCGTTTCCCACTTTGACAAGCCGATATATGTCCTTGGATACATCCAAAGAGACTCTCGCATCTACCTCGCGGACAAGGATGTCAACGTCACCTCGTTTGCCCTGTCGCTTCCCGTGTTGGAATACCAAACCTTGGTACCCGCGACGACATGGAGACGGCGGCCGAGCTGCTGCCGACCATTCCCGTGGACCAGCTGAACAAAATCGCGAGATTCTGGAAGGCCAAGGCCACAAGGAGTTGGCCTTGAGGTGGCGACAGACCCGGAGCACAAGTTCGACCTCGCTCGGCCTCAACCAGCTCGATATCGCCCTGGACCTGGCGCGCAAGGCGGACGCGGACCATAAGTGGAAGACGGTAGGCGACGCGGCTCTGGCGGGATGGGATGGCTCTTGCTGCGGAGTGCTTCGCACATGCCAAAGACCTCGGCTCTCTGCTTTGCTGCACTCGTCCACTGGCGACCGGCAAGGGCTTTCAAGCTGGCTGCTCAAGCGGAGGGCAACGCACAATGTCGCGTTCTCATGCTACTGGCTCCTGGGAGATGTCGACGGCTGCGTCGAAATGCTGACCAAGACTGGCCGTCTGGCCGAAGCGGTGCTTTTCGCGCAAACATAAGCCCAGTCTGGCCGCCTCCATCGTCAAGGACTGGAAAGAGAGTCTGGACAAGGGCAAGAAGGGACGGGTGGCAAAGCTCATCGGGGTCCCTGACGAGGACGCGGAGCTGTTCCCCGAGTGGGACGCGTGGTTGCAAGCGGAACGCGAAGGCGGCGACGCACTGGACAAGACGAACGTGGCGGGGGCAAATGGAGAGGCTCCCGTTGCCGAGAAACAGGCGCCGGCCGTGGACGCGGAGGAGGAGGAGGAGGAGGACGGAGGGGCGAGGCAAGGAGGACGAGGAGAACGCGGAGGATGAGGAATGGCTAGGCGCTCTCTGCTGTATTTCTGTTGCAAAAGTAGATGGCGGGACGAAGATGTCAATACTGGAGCAGGCCAATCCGCAAGGTGGAGCGAGCCAGCCATGGGCGCTGTCACTGTCGACCATTGGCGCCTGCCCAGTGAACTGGATAGAACGGTTCTCGAAACTATATGTTTTATTTTTTGATCAAAAAGATGCACAGAAGGCACTGAGTTGAAGTGACATGGACAAGTATATATATGCAAGTTGTTGGGATGCTTGAAAATCATTGCTGACCTCTTTGCGCCTGAACCAACCCACATGCAATGCTATTATTCTTTAAAGTGATGAAGAAGTCGCTCAATACCGACATGCATCCCTTGCTTCCTTTTCCTGTCTCTACAAGATAGCAACGGCCAAGCCAAAGGCGACGACGGCGGCGGCAGCCATGCCATTCTGGCGGGCCGGGGCGTTGCCGGACCGGGTGCTGCTGGAGACGGCGTTGGCGGCGGGGGTTGAGCTGGAGCGGTCTGAACCACAGGCGGAGAAGGCGTTTATGTTGGGGAGGTTGGAGCAGGCGGTGAGCTGGTTTGCGTTGCGCGAGGACCACGAGTCGAGCTGGGAGCTGTACGAGGAAAACTGGGCGGAAAGGTTGGGCGGGGTGGTGAAGCTGCAGAGGTCGGCGGGCGGCTTGCGCGCGAGGTCGGCCTCGAGGGCGGACTGGACCTCGGGGCGGGGTGGGCACGAGCTGAAGAGGGAGACGATGGCGCTGTAGCACTCAGTGGGGATGGTGGGCGAGGCGCCTCCCGTCTGCCGGGGGAGCAGGGCATGGGGGGTGTTGAGGGCGGCGGGCATGGCGGCCAGATAGTTTACTTCTGCCGAGGCCGACGAGGCGGCGGCGAGGGCGGCGAGGAGGGCGGCGAGACGGGACTGCATGGCGGCGTTTCCTTTTTGAAGGACGAGGCGAAAGATGTCAGAAGAGAGATGGCGAGCGAGGCGTGGTTGGCAGCTTGTTTTCAAGAATTCGAGAGCAGAGGCCGGGGGGAAGGCAAGGGAGAGAGGAAAGGGAGGGGCTTTTAATCTGTCCCGTGTCACGATTGCCGAGTGTTGGTGGACTTCTGGATCGAGGTAGGGCAGATTCCTGTTGTTCGGATCGTAGATCAGACAAAGACACTAGTCAGGCCTCGGGAGAGGGAGCGAGGTGAGCCTGTCACGATGACTCGAGGCCCATGGGTGACGGGAGTGGCCTCTGACTGAAATAGCCATGTCTTCGGCATTCAACCTCGGGAAAGATGCTTTCGATGGAGCAACAGAGAGGCAAGCGGCGGGTTTCAAGTCACTTGTAATGCGAGAGAGCATGGCAACACACGACCCAATCTCGAGAAAGGAAGGCGGACGGTTCATCCGAGGGCGCATCGGGCGGTTTCGCAAGTAATTAGGTAGTCATGTTCAAGGCAAGGGGAGTTTTGGGCAAGTGGGGACATTCTTTTTCCGTCCCGAATTTGAGTGCGCGCTGCAAGGATACAGAACCATTAAGCATGGGCCCACGAGTTTCAAGGAATGCAAGCGGGCTTGATGCCTGGATGAACCCTTGGGCAGAAGGCTAAATTAATTAACAATCCGACGAGAACGCATCCCATCTCGCACCCTGTCTCAGACCTTGTCTCCCATTTGCCCGTCACTCCAGCCGGCTGTCGAGACACAGGCGGGTTGTACCAGGCCAAGCTGGCAGCGGGTCCGGATTCCGAGGCAATCAGCGGTGGCATCCGCTCGTACTGTAGCGGTGACCTTAATACAGCTAGGCTGGATGTGTGTCTCGGCTGTGCATTTGCTGCTATCGCTGGGCTTTGCCCGTACTAGTTGTCGCTGTCCGCAACTCGGTGCGCGAGTCAGTTGGCGATCTACCAAGGTAGGTACGGTACAGTACAATAGGTAGGTACTGTACCAGGCAGGCTGCTCTCCGTACGGAGTACGTACCCAGAGAGGCCTTTGTCGTCGGCCGTCTCGGTGTGAATGTTGCCCGCGGGCTCTTGGCGGAGCAAAGCAAAGACACCGAACGTCTTGAAGCCCATGCTGTCAAGAAGATGAAGATGAAGAGCCGACAGTCTGTTCTGTACATGCTCGCTCTCGCTTCCTGCGACCGACAGCGAGCAGGTGGCGTGGTGAAAGCCACACGGGAGAGCCTACATGTAATGTACTGTGTAATTATGTATATCATAAGTCGGGTTGACTTCTTGTCTCGAGGTTGAACCCAACATCCGGCCGCCACCCCCCACTCGTCTGACCTCCCGGCAACCACGTTTTTCGTCGTGCGTCTTTTATTATCTCCTCTCGCCTCCGCCTTTTCATCAGGCCGGCTGGTGACTCCAGCCGCATGGAAAGGTCAAAGCGGCATCGGCCCTTTCGGCTCGTCGCCGCTGGGCGCGCTACGCCCAGCTGAAGCTAACGAGCGGATCCGTCGCATGATTATCAGATCCATCTGATAACAGCCACGAGATTTTACCTTTCTCTTTTTTTCTAGAGTTTGCTGTGCGTGTCAGTGACAGGCGGAAAGTAGGCTTCAAGACTGGAACAGACATTGTCGCCTCATCAACGTTGAGGTCGAGACTGCTGTACACGCGACCTGTTGATTCCACCGAACGACCACCCGCATCCGGAGCCTGTATTATTTTTCATTCTATTGGTATAGTTAAGAACGACCGCCTGCCTGCTCGACAGACCGGCCACTGACCAGCTGCTTCATTAGCTGCCGGCTTGCTTGCTGAAATCTTCCCACGTCGTCTCGTCCTCCTCCTCCTCCGCCTCCTCCTCCTCCTCCGCCTCCTCCTCCTCCGCCTCCTCCTCCTCCTCGCCACACTCATCAGCTACCAGCATCATCATCACCGCACCCGCACATCCGTCAGCATGGCAACGTCGCCATCGCCAAATACCGATGAAGGCCGCCCGCCACCTCGGCGCGGACGACGGCACCCATCCCCTCGACGCCGACAACGCCGCCCATCGCGCCCATCCAGGCGCCCTTCGGCCGCCGCCGCCGTCAGGACCTCACGTCGCCTGGCGTCGCCTCGCGTCGAGGCCCTGTCGGCGAGCATCTCCCGACGGACCGTATTTGCATCTTTCAGGCGTCTTCCTCCTGCCTACGCCTACGGGCTCGACGGCACCCTGCGCTACGCCTACCAGCCCGTCGCATCGGCCTCGTTCGGCGTCCACTCGCTTCAGGCCACCATCAACGTGGTTCGCGCCGTCATTGCCGCCGCCGCCCAGCCTGTGTCGGCCAAGATTGCCGACGTCTTTGGCCGCGTCGAGCCCTTTGCGTGGCCGTCTTCCTTTACGTTGTCGGCACCGTTGTCGAGGCCGTGTCCAACAACATCGACACCTTTGCTGGTGGCAGTGTCATCTACCAGATCGGCTACACCATGATTATTCTGCTCGTCGAGGTTATCATCGCCGACATCTCCTCGACCCGTGCCCGTCTCTTCTTCAGCTACATCCCCGCCCTTCCCTTCATCATCAACACCTGGGTCAGTGGCAACATCTCGGAAGCCGTCCTCGCCGCCACCACCTGGCGCTGGGGCGTTGCCATGTGGTGCATCATCTTTCCACTCTGCGCCATGCCTCTCATCCTCAGCCTCGGCGTCGTCGCTCGCCGTGCCCACAAGGAGGGGCGTCTGACCAACTATCGCTCCTCGTTTGAGATACTCGGCTTCCGCAGCTTGACTCTGGAGCTCTTCTGGCTCCTCGATGTCATTGGCCCCGTCCTCATGGTTGCCCCTTTGCCCTCATCCTCGTGCCCCTGACTTGCCGGAGGCTTCAGAGCAAGTGGAGAAGCGCGTCGGTCATCGCCCCCAGTCGTCGGCGTCTTGTGCATCCCCGTCTTCGTCCTCTGGGAACTCAAGGCGCCACCCGCTGGTGCCCTTTTCCTCATCAAGGACCGCTCCGTCTGGGCTCCTCGGCATCGCCATCTTCCTCAACTTCGCCTTCACCATGCAATCCGACTTTCTTCACCGTGCTGCAGGTCGCCTTTGACTTTTCCGTCAAGGCCGCCACCCGCGTCGTCTCCTCTACCTTCACCAGTGTCATTGTCGGACCTCCTTGGCCTGGTCGTCTTCAAGGTGCGCCGGCTCAAGATCTTTGTCGTTGTCGGAACCGCCCTGTACATGGTCGCCTTTGGCCTTCTCATCCACTACCGTGGCTCGACTTCGGGAAGCGGCCGAGCCGGCGTCATCGGCGCCCAGGTGCTTCTAGGTGTCGCCGGTGGCATGTTTCCATACACCGCCCAGGCCTCGCTGCAGGTCGGACTCAAGCACGAGAACCTGGCCGTCATGACTGGCATCTATCTGGCAATGTACAATGTCGGCTCCGCCCTTGGAAACACGGTGTCTGGGGCTATGTGGTCGCAGTTACTCCCCGCCAAGCTGGACGAGACGCTGGCCGACCTCAACTCGACGTTGGCCGCCGCGGCCTACGCCGACCCCTTTACCAACGTTGTTGCTGCCTATCCGGTGGGTACGCCCGAGAGGACAGCCGTCGTGGATGCGTACCAGTCGATCCAGCGCATCCTCTGCATCACGGGCGTCTGCCTCTGCGTGCCCTCATCTTTGCCGCGATGCTGCGCAACCCCAAGCTGAGCAACGAGCAGACGCTGGCCAAGGACAGCGCTTCTGAAACGGGGATGTCGACCTTGAGCGCCCTTGAGAGTGCATGCGACTCACTGGATATGGGGTATACTATGCACTGGATATGCAGCGGAGCGTCCTGTGCGACCCCGAGGCTGACGTCGGCAATCTTTGCCGACATGGGCTGAACGGCGGAACCACGTTGATGGTGGCCTGAAGTGAGTGAACGCCAAACGAGGCCGTAGGCGTAGGCGAGGAGGACGACGCCAAGAAGGATGCAAAACGGTCCGTCGGAGGATACATGCTGACGTTGAAGTCTGGTCCGACGGGTCAAATGGATGGACAGAGCGGAAGAGAGACCGTTCTTATATGGTGTCTGTGAGAGGCTGGTCGGAACTGAGCGCGGTGGATGATGCACAATGAGACAAGTGTAACTCCGTACAATGGACAGCAACGTCTCAGGCTGTCGCCGATGACTCATTATTTGCCCGTTGACATGCATTTCCAGTACCTCAGTGTCCTGCAGGCACCTTGTCATTGATGCTCATCCTCGGCAACGAAAGGCGCACTTACACGGCCCCATCGACACTCGCCGCCCCGCGAACAGAGACAAGGCCACACCATTGAGTTCCAACCTGGCGGTTTATTGCTTATACAATATACTGCCGGGGTAACGCAGTACCCGCCTGGATAGTCGCCGGTGCTCAAGTCTTGCACAGCATCGATGAAGGTGGCCAGGATAGCGCGGCTGACGGCCGAGGACATTGCCGACCGGGATTTTTCCTGAAGTGTCCAGAGTTATCGCCGCCATACGACCACCTCGCCTCTGGCCAAGAGATCAAGACGACGCCCGTTCCCACCTTCGAAAAACATACGGCTTCGACGAGCAAGACTTTGCCGAGCCGACGACCCGATAGGCTTTCTTGCGCTGACCGACGGCCAGCAGGTCATGGCTATGCGTTTGCGCTGAAGGACTGGAACAACGTGGCGCTCCTGCACACCATTGCGCTGGACGTCGAGGTTCGGGGGCAGGCAACGGCGCCACGCCTTCGGCGCCGTCGTCGGCTGGGCGCGGAGATTGGCGTGGCAGGCATCCGAGTCGAGTCGCAGTCCAATAATGTCGCGGCTGTCGCTTCTACAAGAAACTCGGCCTCAGGTTTGGCGGCTACGACGAGCTGCTCTACATGGGAGTGCAGGAGCACAAGGAAGAGACCGCCTTGTTCTGGTACTACGTGTTATGATCCGGATGATATGCCGAGTGATTGAACAACGTCTGGACCTGGAGTTGAGGCAATGGAAGAACATCAAAGTCATCATTGGCATGTTCTCGGTCCGTCATCAAGCTTAGGCTTCTTAGCCATCAAAAGGCGTCTCATATGGCCTTTCGGCCTGTGGCGTGATGCGTGCAGGTGACGCCTCTGTCCATTCTCCCAGTTGGCCAGAGCAGTGTGCTGGGTTACCCGATTGTCCCATACGACCACCGTTCCTCCTCCCACTTGATCCGGCCTGGAAGTCGGCACCGCCATGTGGTTGTAGAGGAACTGGAGGATGGCGTCGGACTCTTCCTTTTCATCCCTAAAATCTCGCGTGTAACTGTCAAGCAAACAAGTGTCAGCCACGTCGAGTTCATCGAGCCACCCAGCAGAATGCAGAGCGCTTCGTTTGTCCAGAACACCACACACTGATCGTTGACAAAGAGAGCCTTTTCTCCGTTGCCGGATGAGTCCGCACAATCGGGTGCTCGTTGACGACGGGCTCGTCTCTTGATGCTGGCCCTGATGGCGGCGGCGTTGACCTGCTCAATGCCCGAGTGCGTGGCCTTTGCCGTGAAGACGCTCCTGGAAGAGCGGGCTCAGACGCCTGTAGGCCTGGACGGCGTCGACAAAAGCGTGTCGCCTCCGGTGTCCGGCTTGTTCAGGATGTAGAGGAACGTTGTGCCGGGAGGCTGCTGCTCGTACGTGGCATCCGAGCCAGGCCACCGTGGTCGTGTGGTACCGAAGCATCTCCTCCTTGGCCTTGTCACCCTCGCCGCGGTGCACGAGCTGGATCTCGGATAGCTCTGGCACTCCCGATGTCGGGTGGATGTGGTGTCGGCCAAAGTAGGAGCCATGATGGAGGGCTTCGGAGATGGGGAGGTCGGCAAAGTCTGGTTCCGGAAGGCAACAACCTTGCGCTGTGCCACGTATAGTGCGAGCTCGTCCTTGCCGGCGTCGCTGAGCGAGGACAGCTGGATCCCTTTCACCTCGGAGCCGATGGTCGGGGTGAGGTCCGTGACGGAGGTGCCCGGCGGCAGCAGGTTGGGAAAAGACGGGTCGGCATCTTTGCCGTGTTCGTAGTGTTCAAAGGGCTCGAGAGGGGGGTATCTCTCCTCGGGGTTCCAGGTAGGCAAGTAGTGAAGGTACTGATATGCTGGGTCAACTTCCGATTTCCGGTCTCTGCGTCGAGGGGATAATCTGAGGATAATCACCTGGCGGCATTGTTGCCCTTTTGCCCGTTTCTACATCTCTGTCGATTGAGGTGCCGTCCGTCTCCTTGTACTTGCCGAATGTGAGCTTGTAAGTGGAAGAAGTCGTGACCTCAGTGGTTGTCCCGACAAGTGAGGGCGCCATTCTGTATATGGCAAGCAGGCGAGTCGTCGTCTTGGACCTCTCAGTCTTTACGGTGGAGGGGGGGCCTCGGCTCTAGATATATATGTATGGATGCCGAGGGATGGAGCTGGACCTGGCTCCCCCGGTTTTCAATCCGACTACTGACAGCCCACCCCCCTTTCCGGTCTCCAACGGGTCCATGCCCAGATCCCCGCAGTGACCGCATCACGCAACATATTGCGAAATGCAACTGATTGCTTCGCCATACCAGTCCAAAACGGATGTGCCATCTGCGAGGGGACTTGCGCCGGTCGACGTCGGAACTGGCCAGGCCGAGTTGACGCGATGATGGTGCGGATGACGCCACCGCTACATATGAGGTCAAGGAGGATGTCGAGCACGCAATCTCATGAGAGGTTGTGCACCCACGGCGCGTCTACATAACTGGGCCCCTTGCCGCGACGCAAAAAGGTTGTTAGCTGCGGCTTGAACACTGCCGTCCGCGTTTCACGTCTGATCCATGCACTTGGTTTCCCGCTTAGCTTGTGCTACCCGCTCATGAGCGCTGTTTGCTGACAACTTACATGTACGTAGCAGCTGCTCAAGAGCACGCACGCTCAAGTTAGAAAGGCCAGACGTCGAGATGTTGCCCAACCTCCTCTTTGCATCCGCTTCTGCCGTCTCAATGGGCATCGATACCCAACCGCCAGTATATGCCAAGCAAACTCGACTGGACATCCAGCCAAACCCATACGGTTGCAGTGCGACTCGACATGATTGGTTGCCATTTGTGTCGCTTGGAAGCAACACCTGCAGGGCTCGGCGATGCATGTTGGAGCGGCATCGTCAAGTGGCGGAGTCCGGAAGTGTCCAAATGTGTGTCAGAATAATGGCACGATGCGAGTTTGCTGTCCCGCGCAGGCACAACGCAGCGCCGGGGCCGGGGGCGGATACGTACATACGCGGAGACAACGGATGCGCGAGGGACGCGGTGCGCCGTCCGACGGGCCATGTGACAGTGTGGGCCGAAGCCGGGCTGCTTTTGCGAATGAAGCAAGCCGGGAAGCGGTGCCGGGTGGCTGTCGTATTCCACGGAGTTCGGATCATTGTCATTGATCGCGAAACGACGTTTCAGGACGGCGTTCACACCCGTTTGGCCATTCCACCTCCGTCAAATACGGTTGACTATATGATTTCATGTCTGCCGATGCGACGACTGCTCATGTCCTTGAGTATTCCATTTGTTGGCGTCCTCGGGAACTCGCCGGCGTACTAAGCCAGGAAGCGCTCCGAACACGCGAGTTAGGACAAGCAACTGATCGTGGTGCTTCCATCTCGGTTCTGAGCCCTGGTCTTGTTGGGGCTGAGGCTGGGTCGAGGCTCCGGGATGCTCAACTGAGCGCATCGTCACGCGGCACATGAACATGGGTGAGACATTGAAAGCCAATCATCTCGCCCAAGGGACATTTACCCTGGCTCAAGTCCACGGTTCGATACTAGGTATCGATCCGTGAATGCGCAACTTGCTGATCGCGGGAAGCTTTCCATGGGAAAGATACACGGGGGTGAATACTGATCCGAGGACGACGCAGGATGCCATCTCATCAGCATATCGCAAGGGGAAATCTCCAACTGGCACACGTGGTAGTTGTTGATGAAGCCATGATGCTCGTTTATCGCTGCGGCCATCCGGCCGGTAAACTCGAGATCAACTGAAGCCTCGCAGCGTTGCATAGACGCATCGAGGTCGGACGGTACTTGTTTTCTGAGGAGAAGCCCACGCCGTCGCCTACCTCAGTCGCTCCGCCGGTCAGGACGACGGATTATCCAAGCCTTGATCCATTGGTTCTAGATGCATCCGACTGCTGTAAAGTGTCTCGTGGCAATGCGTCAATGCGTCAACGGTAGGGATAAGCCAGTTTCACGTATGAGCCGGCCACTCGTGAGACATGCGGATGTTGCACACAAGCACGCGAGACTCGATCGCAAGCGTGTTTTCCGAGGTGCTTGTCTCTACTTGTCGTTGCCCTGAATTGTGTCTCTATTGAGATTGGGCGCCAGCTTTGCTACCCGCCTCTCGCAAGTATGTGAATTGAACTGGCGTCGAGAAAAGAAAGTTGAAGCCACGGAAGACGGCGGAATACGCGACGAACCGCTCGCCGGACTCTTTTCACCATGAAGAAGCGCCAATGGGGAAACAGTGAGAGACCGAGAGGAAGGGTTGTCGAGGAGCTTGTCAAGATCTGGACATGGACATTTAGACTGGCTATCGATGAGACATCTTGCAGGCTTCATGTTCAGATGGTTTCGATAAGGTGTAAGAATCAAATTTCGAGCTGTCATCGATGGCATCGGCTGCCTACCAGCTAAGCCAGCACTGTCTGCTTGAGCCTTTGCCTTTGGTCGAAGATCGAGTACTTCAGAGGACCTGTATATCAGGCTGTTTGGATGTGCGAGACTACGTGTAGGGATTATTAGCAACCAGGTGTAGCGTGCATTGTTCAAGGCTCTGATTTTCTTGATTTACCTCCCAGAGGTACGTCTGTATGGCATACCCATATGAACTCGGCCAGCCAGCATAAGAGCAGAGATGTCAATCCAAATGGCCGGGGATTTGTCAACATGTCTCCGACCAAGTCTGAATTCAGGTTTGATCACCAAGACGCTCGTGTGCACCACAACACCATCTGCCACAGCACATGAAGCAGTCGCCGCCGATAATCCAAACAGAGACGTGTCAATGAAACCCAAGAACTTATTGCGTGTTGCAACATGAGCTCACGAGATTACATCAAGCGAAGGGGTGACCGCATGAATATTTCCAGAGCTCGGTTCTGGAACGACACGAAAGCGACATGAAACCAGCGCGCAGTAGAGGCCAGCATTGATGATCTCGAACTATCCAAGACGCGGGAACTAAAGGCATCCAGTGCTGGCACTGATACGTTCGCTTACTTTCAGGGTGGTGAAGCCACCACCAGACACCAACAATGCTTCCACACACCACTCGCTATGATTGACCCGACTGAAAGCGTGGAGGAGGACTGCTGGAAATACGTCATGGGCCCAAGAGCCTCGCGTCATTACGAACCGACAAGCTTGGTTGTTAAATAACCTTAATTTCAGGTGCTGGCCTAAACGTACATGCTCTCTGCCTGATGGGGAAGGTCAGCAAGCGGTGGCATCAGACGACCGGACGACACAGGCCCGGATGAGCCTTGGCAAGCCATTCATGGAGCCGATGCCTGAGGGGCCACAAGACATTTTCATATGACCCATGATCCTGGATCCAGGCCCTGCAAAGATCGACGATGTGACCCCGCAACAACAGCCCTGCGTCTGATCTGCACAGGCCGGCTGATGAGCGGGGAGTACTCCGGACGTACGAACAAGGGTGTCAAATTCCGGGCGACAAGCTAGCTTCCGTGGGGTATCTAGGGGGTAGCAGTACTCCGGGTAAAACGCGTCCGCCCGACTGTCCAGGAGGTCACACAAGACACGCGTCTGACTACAGGACCTGGCGGTCCGGCTCTGCCTTGGGCGTCTCTTGGCAGCCAGCAATGCGCCTGTGTCGGACAACGGCACTCGCCGCAGTCTGCCGCCGACATGAGACCGGCAGCCAAGATACACTGTTTGTGGCAGCAGTTCAACGATGACTGCATAAAACCAGGTCCCTACAAGCTGAGGGGGATCACACAGCCTCCAGCCTCCCTCCAGCCAGGAGGGGCGATGGTGCTGTGTCTACGAAGTATAATAGACTGAACGATAGCATTCCATGGCTCGGCAAGGACGCCTCCCTGCCATTCCACCTACCCCTGCCACCGTGGCATCTATGCTTTTATTCTTGTTCTTCCTCGACCGTATTTTGTCACTCGGTCTCCCCTGACCACGGCTTACAATCCACGGGCGCTAACATCCGGCCCGTTTCGTTAGTTGACTTCGACTCTAGTCGTCATGCAACTCCTACATGCGGTCCTATGGAGCAGCTTATTTTGGCTATCAGTCGCTGCGGGATCTTTGCAGTCCGTCTTTAAGCGCGCTCCCGTGCCGTACAGGGTCCAGACGCCGCCCCTGGACACGGACTGGACATACAAGGTCGGCAGAGACCCTTGGCCCGAGCATCCTCGCCCCCAGCTCCGTAGAGATGTCTGGCAGAACCTGAACGGAATCTGGACGTATCAAGAGGCCAGGAGCGCCGCCGATATCGACAAGCTCCCCGGCGGTCTCCTTGAGCGCGAGGTCCTGGTCCCGTCATGTATCGAAAGCGGCCTGTCGGGGATCCAGCTCTCAACGTAACACGCATGTGGTTTGCGAGAAGCTTTCGAGTTTCAAAGGAATGGGAAGGAAGTCGGTCACCTCCACTTTGAAGCCGTGGATTATGACGCCACCGTTTTTGTCAACGGAGTCAAAGTTGGCAATCATGTTGGCGGATATTTTCGATTCAGCCTCGACGTGACGGCTCAAGTCAAGTTTGACGAGGACAACGAACTGTAAGCTCACTCTTCTCCGCGAGTTGCGTGCTGATGTCTTGTGGATCTGACCGATGGTTGAACGCAGACTGGTTTTCGTGTACGATCCTTCCGACTCCGAGGTCATTCCCGTCGGCAAACAAACCAAGAATCCAAGACACATTTGGTACAGGCCGTGCTCGGAATCTGGCAGACGGTGTGGCTAGAGAGCGTTCAAGAGACCACATCCAGCAACTCGACGTGGCGGCCGGCATGGACGGAATCGGTACGCATGCCCGCGGGATGGAAATAGACACAACTGTGGATGCTGACCTCGCCCAGTCACCTTGACCGCTCATAGTTCTCGAGAGGAGGAAACCCCATCGAAGTTTCCATCTACAACCGAAAAGGGCACGTGGTTGCTCGCCGAAGAGGAAATGCCGACACGGAACTCCAGTTTGAGGTGGACAACCCCGAACTTTGGGAGCCATCTTCGCCCACTCTGTACAACATGACCATCAAGATGGGCGAAGACGAAGTCCAAAGCTATACCGGATTCCGAACGATTTCCAAGGGCCTCGTCAACGGCATTCAGCGGCCACTTCTGAACGGGGACTTTGTCTTTCTGTTCGGCACTCTCGATCAAGGATACTGGCCCGATGGGCTCTACACGCCGCCCAGTCGTGAGGCTATGATTTATGACCTGAAGATGCTCAAGTCCCTGGGCTTCAACATGGTTCGAAAGTAAGTCTCGTGCTCGTGACGTTTCGCCCAGACTCACCGCCGTGCTCACGCAATGAACTCTTAGAGTTGAGCCCGATCTTCTTATCAAGCATGTGATGAAATAGGCTTGATGGTTGTTCAAGATATGCCAAGCTTGCCGGATGACTTCAACCGGCTACCCAATGACGCACAGCAAAAGGAGTTTCAGCGCCAGCTTGAAGTCCTCATCAGCGAGCACAAGAGCTATCCGTCCATTGTGACCTGGGTAAGACGTGGCGAGGCAGGGTGAACGAATCGTTAGAGTCAATGAGCTAACGTGCTGCTTGACAGGTCATTTACAACGAAGGCTGGGGCCAGCGGAGAAACGCACCGTATCCCGAAGGGCAACTCACTGATGTCGTGCGCAGCATTGACCCTACGAGGTTGATTGACTCCGTGACAGGCTGGTTCGATCACGGGTTTGGGACTTTTCCGTAAGCTTATGCCGCGAAGAAAACAGGGAAACTTAATTGCAAACTGACACCGTTGATCCCAGGATAACCACCATTACGCGAATCCCCAGGCACGCCATTTTATTCCATTGCATCTTCCCCGTATGATCCAACGCGAATTGGCTTCCAGGGCGAGTTTGGGGAATTGGCCACAATGTTTCAGCCGATCAGTGAGTTGGCCCTGTTCTTTACGCGCTCAAGGTTCTGACGCCGTTTCGGCTGCTAACGGTTTCACTCGTGCTCAGCCTTTGGAAAGTCCAGCAGGCGATAGACACAATCAACCAGACATACGAGGTCAGCAAAGACCTAAACGCCTATAACTATAGAGCTAGCGTCTTTATGGAGCTGCGCGAGCAAGTTGAGCGGTATGCATGCAGCGGAGGCGTCTGGACCCAAACAACGGACGTTGAGGGTGAGGTTAACGGGCTGTACACATACGATCGCCGCTTGCTGCGTCCAGATGTGCAGCAGTGGAAGGACGACATCGCGCTCCTTTACCGGGCTGCGCTCGCACGAGGGGTACGCTAATCATGAATGTTTTAACGACAATCCGGATTATGAGGACGGGTTGATGTTCAGCTGCTGTGCCTGCAGTAAGGAGCATTGTCCCTATGCTCTTTTAGCTGTTGGGACATGTTGATTCGGATATTAGTTCAGGAGGCATTGGCATGACTGGGATGGTGAGAGAGCGGCGAGTGCACGGAGGTGACAGCTCGCGTTCATGTGCGGGTGGCTGGAGACAACCCTTGGGAAGAGACCAGGGCCTTATTATCGTCGGCTGCGGCGCCTGGCCCTCTACATGTGGTTTTGGGGCCGACACTGGATTTTCATCCATTAATTATGTAACGGCTTGGAGGAACAGCGCATCTTAGTCCGCCTGCTAGATGGAGCGTTGATGATGCTGAAATCCTTGTCATACTTATTCATTTTGCGTAATGCAAGAAACAACCTGTGCAGGCATACATTCGTGGACATGACAGGAATGCTTTGAGCGCTATAATCATGCAACGTCACTCCTATTCAGCTGAACGAGAACAGGCGAGCTGCCCTTCCGCGACATCGCCCCCGCCAACTGTCCTTGTCTCTCGACGGGAAAGGGAGAAAGACTTACGAGTGGTTGGCGGATGGCACCCGACCAAGTTGTTCCCTAGTGGCCTGTCTTGTGGATATGGTGTGGGTGCAAGGCGTGCGCATGCCTCGAAGTGGCCGGATCCGTAACCATCAAGTCCGGACTCGTAGAGGTTGAAACTCTGGAATTCCCTAGCACCATAGAATCAAATTACCGGTAAGAAGGGTGTACATCTTTATTTCTCCAAAGATTAATAGCACCTTTCTCCATTCGGCGTTTACATCAGCTACGCATGTATACCGCTGTAGCATGCTATAAATCTCGAGCGGCACGTAGCTGGATAGCGACGGGTAAGAAGGCCAAATATTGTACTGTCCACCGACTCATCTACGCGCACATTCTCAACACAAACTCCCACCGCTCAACCGAAAATAAAGTCCAGCCATGCCGGCCATTGTCATGATTACATATGCCCGGTCTCCGGACCTACAATTCAACCATTCGCACTATTATTCGACTCACATGCCGCTGTGCAATCAGAAATGGGCAAAGTACGGTTTCCAGTCGTGGGACGTGGTAGAAATGACCGAAGATTCACCATACGCTTTGATGTGCGTCATGCGGTGGACCAGCATGGAGGCGTACCAGAAGGCTATGCAAGAAGAAGGAGCAGAGATCATGGCGGATATCAAGAACTTCACAAATGTCCGTCCGGTGGCCTTGAAGGGAACCGTCAAGGAGCAGTGGTCAGCAGGAAAATGAAGCTTCGTGAACGATGGCGTTAAGGAGGGCCAAGGACAACGGCTAGACTAGGTTAAAGATTCGTGAATTATGCATGTCAACACTTCTCCGAGACATGTTCACCCGCGTGCAATCATGACAGACAATACTCTAAATTTGGCCTGTTGTATGTTCCCGCTGCCGATCCTCACCCTCCGCATCTAGTCCGTTTAACGAACATGAGGCGATGACCAGATCCGGCCTTACTTCAAAGTCTCATCCGACCTTGTCGAAACGGACAGGGCGATAAGAGCACTCCGGATACGTTCAAAACGAGAGGCTAGTGGGTTTTGCTTGAACTTTACCGATGCCGTCATGTTATCCCGGTCATGAAGGCTTGGCAGGAAACTCCGTAGGTCCCCGAGAATGGGGAGTCGGCGTATGTCGTCTATGGGAAAGCTTATCGAGCAGTGTTACGCAATGGTGCACCCGCTTCCGGGTGCGTATATCCTGCTTTGACCTGGACCGAACAGCCTTAATATTTCTTATGCCGTTCCGTCTAAGGACTTATATATACCAAATAACTTTGCCAGGCCAATGGATCCTGTTCAATCCTGCCGCCCCAAGCATTTGATGAGCCCCTGAACCCGTTATCCTGAGCGCCCTACCCTTAGTCTCTATTCAAGGCATCCACGCACTCCGGGACAATGCTGTCAGCCCAGCTGCCCCAACCGGCCGGTCCAAACCAACAACTCAACCCTGGACAGAGGTCTCAGCAGTTGAGTGACCTGGCTGGCGCCGGCAATGGCCAGTTGGCAGACAAGCCGTACGGCCGTCGCCTGGCTATCAACATCATCGAGGACCTGGCCAAAAACGAGCCGTCGCGTCCCTTCGTCTTCACTCCCAATGGCTCCGAGGCCAAGGACGGCTGGGCCAAGGTGACTTACAAGCAAATCTACAACGCCATCAACCATGTTGCCGGAGAAATCACAAAGAAACTCGGACCTGCGCCTGCGGGTGTTCCCTACCGTTGGGTACATCGGACCCAACGATGTTCGCTACCTCATCATGATGCTGGGATGCGTCAAGGCTGGATACCAGGCTTTCTTCGTTTCGCCGCGAAACAGTCTTGAAGGCTTCCTCTCCCTGTTCGAGGCAACCAACTGCAACGCGTTTTACTACGCCGAGGCGAACCGCCAACTCGTCCAAACCTGGATGAAGAAGAGAAAGCTGCAGGCTTTCGCGGCTCCAAGCGCAGATGTTTGGCTCAACGCCGAGCCACAACTGTTCCCGTACAGCAAGTCGTTTGAAGAAGCGCAGTGGGATCCCATGGTCGTCCTTCACACCAGTGGATCGACCGGTATACCCAAGCCCATCGTCGTCAGGCAGGGCCTTTGCCATCGCGGACGCGTTTCGCTTTCTCCCGACGAGCCATGGCGCCAAGTTCTCGCTGCAGGAATGGAGCGACAGGTCCACGAGACTGTTCCTCCCAATGCCAATGTTCCACGCGGCCGCCGTCTACGTGTTCTTGTCGATGGCCATTTTTACGGACAGCCCATCGCACTTGGCATCCCTGAGCGCCCGCTAAACTCTGATCTTGTTATCCAGTGCCTTGCCCAGTCTGAGCTGACGCCGCTCTCCTCCTCCTTCGATCATGGAGGAATTGAGCCACACCGAGGAGGGTATCGAGACGCTCAGGAAGTTGAACTTTGTGTCTTTTGGAGGAGGTAAGATTCTACGCCCGAGTCTTCTCGTTTCCCTGTGGCTAAACCTTTCCAGGCGCTCTCTCAAAGGCAGCTGGCGACATGCTTGTCGAACGTGGAGTCACCTTGGAGAACTCCATGGCGTCCACAGAGTAAGTATTCAATGAAAAATTCAATGCCGATTTTGTTTAACATGTTCGTCTACAGGCATTTCCCCCTCGGTATTTCCAACGGAACTCCAAGCTGTGGCAGTACTTTTTCAATATGGATGTTATGGGGGCAGACTGGCGCCCGCTGGAAGATGACGATGGTGTCCATGAGCTTGTCTCGTTCGGAAGGACGCCAACGGGCGTCGACAGCAAGGCGTCTTCTATACCTTCCCAGACGCGCAAGAATGGGCGACCAGGACATCTTCAAGCGCCACCCCGATCTCCCGGACCATTGGATGTACCAGGGACGAATTGACAACATCATCGTCTTCTCCAATGGCGAAAAGCTCAACCCCGTCAGCATCGAGGCAGCCGTCACTGCGCACGCAACGTGAAGGGTGCCGTCGTTGTCGGACACCAGAGATTCCAGCCTGCACTGTTGGTTGAGCCTGCCTCCCACCCGACAAGCGACGAGGAAAGAGAAGTTCCTCGAGGATTTGTGGCCGCTCGTCGAAGAAATCAACAAGGAGACGGTGGCTCGGCCGCATCAATCGGTCCTTTGCCGGACTGACCGATCCCGCGAAGCCGTTTCCTCGAGCTGGAAAGGGTCAATTCAGCGAGCCGCCGCCCTGCAGCTCTACAAGGATGAGATCGACACACTGTACGAGAACGCATGGTCCGGTGGAGCGTCGGGCCCGATCGCCCTCGATTTCGACAGTGCCGACAAGCTGACTGGCTCCATAATTGACTTGCTGCAAACAAAGTTTGGGCCCCGGAGCTGGAGGGCGATACCGACATCTTCAGCGCTGGCATCGACTCTGCCCAAGTCATCCAGATGGCAAACATGCTGCGCTCCGGCGTGGACGCTGCCCATCCGTCCGATAACCCGAATCAGTAGCGCCTGGACGACATTTACGCCAACCCTACTCCTTCGCAGATGGCTGCACATCTTCTTGCCGTGGTCAATGGGTCTTCGATCGGGGGCAAAGAGCGGAGAGTGAAGTCTCCATTGCGCAGAGACTTCTGTCCAAGTACACGAGCGATTTGCCAGCTCCCGTCTCAGGCAAGCAAGAGCCACTCTTTGAAGGCCAGACAGTGCTTTTGACCGGTACTACGGGATCACTGGGCGCCTACATGCTGGACATGATGTGCTCCTCCCCTCAGGTGAAGAAGATTGTGGCCTTGAACCGAGGCTCGGATGGAGGCCGCTCCCGGCAACCTGGCGTCAGCGGAGAACGAGGATTGAGCCAAGACTTTTCTAAAGTCGAGTTTGTGCAAGCGGACCTTTCCAAGCCCAGATTGGGCGTCGAGGAGAAGATGTACAACAACCTCCTGCATGAGGCTGACCGAATCATTCACAACGCATGGCCGGTCAACTTCAACATCAGCGTCGGGTCCTTTGAGCCGCATATCAAGGGTGTGCGTCACTTTGTGGACTTTGCCGCCGCAGCCAAGAAGCGTGTGCCGTCCTTTTCCTCTCCAGCGTTAGCACGGCCGGTACTTGGTCTTCAGACGACGAAGTGCCAGAGACTGGCTTTACCGATCTCAACCTGCCAACCATGGGCTACGGACGGTCTAAAGCGGTCAGCAGCTTGATCCTGGACGAGGCGCGAGAAGTGTGGGCTGTCGACGGCGGTGATCCGGGTCGGCCAAATCGGTGGCCCCGTAAGAAGGAGCTTGGAACAAGCAGGAGTTTTACCCGAGTCTCGTCGCTAGTGCCAGTCACCTCGGAGTCCTTCCTGACCAGCTTGGACCGCGACACGTTGTTGATTGGGTCCCTATTGAAGATACCGCAAGCGTCATCTTGAGATCGCGGGAGTGACAGCCAAGGTGCCGGCCTCTGAGATATCTGGCTACTACCATGCTTGTAATCCGCCAAGACAGACTGGACAGAGTTGCCCACGCCGTCAAGAAATATTATGGCGACAGAATCAAGAAGCTTTGTGAGCTTGGAAGAGTGGCTCGACGTTCTCGAGAAGAGCGCCACCGACAACGCTGACCTGGAGAAGAACCCTCCATCAAGCTGCTTGATACACAGGCAGACGCCGCCGTATAAAGCCGGCCGTCACTCGACGCCTTCGAAACCAAGCGGGCAAGGGAGAATAGTGCAATGATGCGGAAGATGGAGAAGATTAACCCAAGTCTGGTGGAGCTATGGTGCTCCCAATGGGCATTTTGAGCCAAGTACTGAACAAAGGCTGCGAGAGAGGAGAGTAATGACCGTGATGGATAGGACGCGGAGGGATAAAAGCCCTGACTTTGTCGGCGGGTAGGGCAGGTTACACAATGGTCTTCGTTGGAAGACGACATAC